CAATCTTGGCCATTCTGGCAGGTGTAAAAGAGTACTGCTACTGCAGTTTTAATCTGTACTATTTTCCTGATAAATAATGAGCTTGAGCATCTCTCTTCCCACCAAATCTTTCATCTGCTTCGCTTACAAGCTTTATAATCATGGGTTGAGTTTCAGCCCCTTTTCCTTCTCCTGCCCTTGGTAGTCTAACCAGCTGGTGAATAGTGACATTAGCCCTGAAGGACGCAGTGGGGAGCACTTGGATAATCTACCAAGTTGATAACCTGCCTCTAAATAAATAACCAGGAGTTGACCCTCGGGGATTGTACTCATGCCATTCAACTGCCATGACCCAGTGTAATATTTCATGTCTTGCTAAAACTCTGGCTCAGCATTATTTTGCATGCAACTAAGGACTTGGACAATTCTTTCATCAGCCACGACTTGCTTGAGACACAAAGGCTTGTGCTACCTGCCTGTGGTATCACTCCAGATGGCACCTTAGCTTTTTTATATGAAATGTTTTTCACATCTCTCGTCCTTCCCCTGGAGGATGTGCAGTTTCTCAATGACCCTTTTAAAATGTGATACTAAGACTGGACAATATTTTAAATCATACCATTCAGTAGTACATGTTCAGGAAAGCAACACTTCATGATAGGTATTCTGTTAAAAAAAAGAAAAATGCAAAAGTGTTTTCCCCTCAAACTAGAGATTGCAACAGAAATTATCTTTCTTCAACGATTCTGTGAATAAGTGATTCTGATTCTGACAAATAAAAAGAAGGAGAAGGGTGGAAAAAAAGTCACACATAGAATCAGGAACAATTGAAAAAGGAATCCAGGCTACCCCCAACCCCAGCCTTTGTTGAAGGGATCACCAGAGATCTATGTAGATATTATTTTGAAATTTAGAGCTTCAACTTGTATGAACATGAATGCCCATGCTGAGTTTCTGCGTGCCTCTGTGAAACAGCAAAAAGAACCCGACAGACCCTATTCTTGCATTAAAGCAACACACTGTGGAAAGCCTGAAAATAAACCATCTATGCTTGATTAATTAGGTTTGTAAGTATTGTTTCAGAACCAAACAATATTTCTAAAGATTTCAATAGTTCAAAGATTGCCCTATGGCCGTCTGGCCAATACATCTTCCAACACACGCAGTTTACAAGCATTTTTCTTCCCAATATGTTGTCTTTGGTTGGTGCGACATTGTTTGAGTGCAGGGCTATTTGGGTCATAGTGGTTTTCTCCCCTGCACAGCAGTGGTGCTGAGCACAGCACTTTGACCATACATCTTCCATGTCATTTCCATCAAAGGCACATGATACTTCCTGGTGACCAATCAGGAGTGGTCCAGCATCCAAACAGAGGGCATATTGGCAAACCAAGCTTTCTTAATGACAGCCATTGTTTGAGGCCAACAAAAGGGAGGTCCTGAATATTAACATGTGGCCTTGTGTAAAGGTCACCAGTATGGCACATCCATCATATTTCACAACCGAGAAAGAGAACTTTTTAAGTTCTGTCAGAACCTACTGTTGTCCAAATAAATGTATTAGCCTGATGGCTGACACCAACGAGGCAAATGATCTTGAGTGATGATCTCCTCTTTTAACAAATATCCTTTCACTTCTTTGAATCAGCTGCAGACATTATGGTGAGAGATCATCCTGAAGGAATATACCTCGAGGCCATAGGGGGTTATAATAACCAGGCAACCCAATTAAAATATTAATTTAATAACATGTAATCATTAGACCGAATGGCATCTCCTCTTGACAGGAATAACCTTCCACACTGAAAAGAGAAATCACTTATTTTAACATCTCAGAGTCTTGAATGGTCTTCTTAATAGTAGAGACCAACAAGCCCATGGAATTTCTATCAGTGAGATTTAATACAGTTGGTACAAAAGAACTCGAACATCTGGGTCTATTGACAACTCTGAGTTTTGGGTAAAGACTATCCAAAGTGAAGCGTGATGGCAGAACTGAGCAAAGCTAAATTGTATCACATGCATTTATTACTAAACCCAAGAGCAGACGGCAAGCTTCCTTATTTGACAATCTTGGTCAGAACCAGTTTTATGTTCAATATTAGAAATACGGGGTTCTGGTTATTAAGCACTATCTTGAAAAAGAGTTGGACTTTATTTCAACTTAAGAAATCTGAAAAGAATATAAGCAAGAGAAAGATTAGTGAATAAGCATGTATCTCTCAGCTGGGTCACTCTGACTCAGTCATAGTCATGGTGTGGGTCAGAAGGGAGAGACGAGAAATGGAAAGAGAAAGGATGGGTATTGAAGAGGGCACGTACTGAATGGAGCACTGGGTGTTATACGCAAACAATGAATCATGGAACACTACATCAAAAACTAATGATGTAATGTATGGTGATTAACATAACATAATAAAAAAACAAAAATTAAAAAAAAAGAAAAGAGAGAGTTCTTTTTAGTTCCTTGGATACATCATACTTTCAATACTATCTTCTGACATTCAGACATTTTCTTTCTATGTGGCATATCTTCCACAGACCCTGTACCTCTGAACAATTTCTACTCCTCTCCGTTTCTTGTTCTTTTCCCTAAACTCTGAACTGCTTAGCTCCTTCTGCTGCATGTTCTCATAGTTCCTTGGACTTGTTTTATCATAACAATCAGCACTTGAAATTGCTTATCGAATTATCCTGTCTTCAAAATTACTCCAAGCTCCGTGAGGAGAGAGACAAGATATGTCAATTTCATCATTGTATGTACTCCATAAATTTTTGTACATAAATCGTAACTTTCAATAATAAAACAGGATCAGTCTCAATTCATCACCTCTTGACCTATAATAAGTTTCTGTTAAATAAAAGAAATTCTCATGCATATTAAGGAAGGATTCAACATTGGAACAATTTACTTTTATTATACTATAGACAAGACAGCAACTAACTACAATACAGCCTCACAAATTCATATTCTATTATTTCAGAACAAGGCATAACCAGATAAAGGATAAAAGGAAGCCAACTTTTGAACTATCTTTGAAAAGGGCATTTTCTAGGCAAAATAATTTTGTATATAATATATCAGGAACGTGTTTTGAAAGAGCCACTTGCCTTGGCTTTGAGTCCTCTTTCCACCCCTGTATATTGACTCCACTTAGAACATCCTCCATGTGAAATGTTGTCTACCTGTCTACATCCTATTAGTCTTCAAGGCCCAGGTAAGTACCATTCCTTTTATGGAGCCTTCCCCTGCTGCTCATGTTCATAACACTTGCCCAACACTCAGGGTAAGTGGTTCTAGTTCTTCCTGTATTCTCACTGGACACTAACCACATTGTAATTAAAAGTCTTAGGTGAGAGGGCACCTGGGTGGCTCTGTCAATTAAGCATTTGACTCTTGACTTCAGTTCCGGTCATGACCTCAGGGTTGTGAGATTAAGCCCTGGGTCAGGCTCCACACTAGGCATGGAGCCTGCTTAAGATTCTCTCTCTCCCTCTGACCCTTCCCTACCTCTCCCTCTCTAAAATAATCCAAATACATAAAAAAATTTAAAAAAATTTAAAGTCTTATGTGAGTATGCCCTTTTTTTTAACAAAAAAGTTGTAAATTAATTGAGGAAAGAATCTGCATTTTTATACTTTTCTGAATCCAGCCCAGGGCTTAGCATGTTGCACTCTGTGAGAGTTCAGAAAAGGTTTTCTAAATAAATGCATTAACATACACAAGTAACCATTCTAAGTATTTAAGCAAATTCTAAAAAAAGAATTTCTTTTGTCAATGCTTTATTAAACTTTAGTAATCATGTTTTATTCTGTCTGTACACACACACACACACACACACACACTTTCTTCAGGCCAATGATCCTATGACTCAAAGTGGTTTAAAGGAGAGTCTCATTATTATTATATTCTTCCTTTCAGTTACAATGGGAAAATCACTCAAGATGGTACCACACTCCCTTACACAGTTTTGTGCAACTGACTCAAGCTTGGACAATCAGATTCTTTCAATATATTTTTGTTCTTAGGACCTAAGAGACCACATCTCTATCCCTTTCCAGAAAGAGATGCTCTGAAATATGAGCTGTGAGTTATTGGAGACCATGTTTCCAGTCCCCATTGAAGAAGCTAATCTGAAGAAATAAAGGTGACATGCAGGAAGAATGAGGGGCATGAGATGGAGGGGCCTAGAAGCTCTCATAGTCCCTGGTTCAGATCATCCCTGAGGCTTCAGCCCAAATCCCATTTACTTTAGATAAATAAGATCAATGTAATTCAGACGTATATCCATGATGTCTACTCAAAATAGCTTTAATAAAACTGGTCAATATATATTTTTAGAGATTTTATTTATTTATTTGAGAGAATAAGAACCAGAGCAGGGGGAGGGTCAAGGGGAGAGGGAGAAGCAGACTCCCTGCCGAGCAGGGAGCCTGACACAAGGCTCGATCCCAGGACCCCAGGATTTGGGGGACCCCTGAGACAAAGGTAGACACTTAACCGACTGAACCACCCAAGTACCCCAAAACTAGTCAATATTATTGTATTATGTTAACTGTAGCTGCACTTTTTTTTAAGTTTGAATTGGTCTCTACCACAAATGTCTAAATTCTTATGAATTTATGAATGCTATTGGGCTCATCTGTTATTTCTCTTAAATAAATGGAGTGTTTATAACAAAGTTATTTAGGTAAGTAATGAAGGCTTTTCATCCTCATAAATATGGTAAAATTTATTACCACCTCTTAATAAGTTCAAAAGACAAGAATGAAAATGACAAGATACCAAATAAAGATATGTATAATTTCACATTTTTCATTGGAAATATTACAATTATGCATTATAAAAAAATAAAATACTGCTCAGTTCCACTCAATTTGTTTCATGCTAGGACAATAAAGAAATAGGTTTAGAGAAGCTAAGAGACTTGTCCAAGGTCGTCCAACTCTTCAGTAAAAGAACCTTCTAGGCTTGATTTAAAGTGCTGAGCACCATGTCTAGCACCACAAGGTGCACCTACCCATTAGTTCTTCTCCATCTCTTTTTTCCTCCAAATTCTGGCCTTTCTCTACCACATCACTCCTGAATACTGTATGGATTCCTGAGGCTGAATTCTGCAACCTCCTTTTCTGACTTAGGGCAACCCCTAATCCTCTCTGCCTCTGTTTCTCATCAGAAGGAAAGAAATAGTTACTATGTTCATCCAACAAAAAGGAAATTAATGGTTGATTAGATGCCTGTTCAACACACTGAGGATGAAAACCAGTCTTCATGGTGAATTATTGAATTAGGGGGCCAACTTACAGTGAGGCTGTGTCTACACAAAGCCAAACATCCAGTCAATTCAGCCCAAAAAAAAATCGTTTAGCCACAGAAAAATGAAATTAGTTGATCAGGACTGTGCACACAAAGTAAAATGAGAAACGAATGGCACGACAATGGCATGGTAAATGTTCTGGCAGAATTTACAAACTTAAAGGAAAGAAAAGTAAGAATGAGATTTTTGACGCTGTCAGAAAAATAAAAAGGTCTTATTGAACAAACAAAAATAGATTCCTTCATTTTCTTATTATGTTCCCGTTTCCTTCTATCTCATTTTCTGCATTCAAATTTAAGATGGACATCATGAAAAAACAAAGCCAGTATCCAAAGATTTGAGTCACACCCTAGCCCAGGATATTAAAAAGGAATGCTTTCCTATGGTAAGGCCGGCATATGACATATTATGATGCAAGCGTTCAACATGACTTAGTTTCATATTTATGAATTAAATGAATTAAATCTTCTTTTCACTCTCTGCAGGGCAAAATGGATGTTGAGATGCATATTATCTATGGAGAATTCTAAGTAACAAAACTCATTTGATGTTCACACTGATTTTCCCAAGTCATTTTTAATACCATGGCAAAAATCAGAAAATCCTCAGTAAAATGTGTGATTTTTGTTGGTTGACTCTTTAGATAGATAGTAATCATGGACTAGCATTAATGGTGTATATGAACTGTGCTTTTAGGAGATGCCATTTGAATGTCCCGTGTCGTTTTTTAGAAAGATGTTTCCATTATGAGTCCTGTGTTGTTACTACGCTCTAATATGTAGATCCCCTAAGCTCTAAAGAGTCTCTAAAACTGCATGAAGTTTTCATAACTATTTCATAACTATTGATTATTAAGTAAGGTAGGAGGAGAGATCATTTATGAGTAATTTATCCCTTCATTAAGAATGAAATACAATTAATTAAAATTGTCGGTCTTAATAACTTACTCATTTAACTCTCCCCCTAACTCTAAGAGAATTAGCCCAGGAGCTAGACAAAGAAAGCATTCTTCAAGACAAATTGAAGAGTACAGTTTTGTGAACTGAGTCCTGAACCCCAGGAATGAACACTTGCAGCTGCAACATGAACTGTTTTCTGTTACCTTAAATACTGCTGGGCCATATGGAGCATTTCTGAGGACCTTCTATTTTAAAACGTTCTGTTCATATTTTATGCTTTTCCATATGTCTCATCCTTACTTCAGAGTTTCTATTCATTTCCATAAAAATAAGATCTTTGTTTTACAAGAGTTCATTTTTCTCTCTCCCCTCCTCCCTATTATGGCCACAAACCTCCACTTGGGTTATTACAGCCACTCTAGGACCAGCTGATTGTGGCAAGATGAATAGCGAATTATTTGAAAGAAAAACAGCAGTAGCAGATGATCCGTGGGGCTGCCGAGCTCCTGTTTTCTTTGCTCATTCCAACCAACCCAGGATGGAGGAGAATAAACCTGACGCTAGTGTCGAACTGCTTCAGAATGAATAAAATGTTTACAGAAATCATCGCTGAAACCCTGAAGGAAGAGCTGAAGGCAGGTATCATTTGCTTAACCGAAAATTAACCAAAATGTGCTTTCTGAAAAAGGGAGCTCCCTGTAGTTTGGGGTTGACTTCAAGCAATTATCCAAACAAAACAGTTGGCGCCTGTGTTGGCGACAAAATAGTGTTTGCATAAAGTGGAGGGAGAAGACAAATATGCATGAAAATTAAATTTAGGCCTCTGGGACTCCCCTTTTGGGGCCATAGAAGAGCTGATTACATGTTCACAGCTGGAATTGGTGTTGGCAGGCAGGCCTCATTCATGGGCAGAGGGAGGGACTCCCTCTTTGAGCGACTGCTCCCGTGGCAAAGCAAGAAAGACAGCATTAAAAGCATCTGATGTTTACAGACCTCAAGGCCCATGGCCCTGAGCCGTTCAGATCTGGCATCAAACCCGAGTGTTCTCCATTGAGGACTCAGTATGCAGCCCAAGGAGCATGTGGCTGCTGGAGCTTAGGGTCTCCCCCCATCCCCCATCCCACTCACTCATGCACCCAGACTGCTGTTGGCAGCGTTTCCATTTAGAAGGCAGCAAATATGGCCAAAAGAAGAGCCAGCATTCTGGACAAGAGAGTGGAGTCTTGCAACACCAAGGTGTAAGGTCACAATAGGACGCCAAAACTGTCTTGAGACAGGGTCCTTTGGGTACTGAGGTGACTGAAAGGGTTTTGACGTTAGTTCTTTTGACATTAGTTCTCTTGGTTTCTCTGGTTGTAGATTGCAAAAATGGCCCTAATTCTCCACCCTTCCTCTGCAGTGTGACTTTGCCCCATCTCAAGATAGAGTGTGTTTTCCCATCCCTTAATCTGGGCTGGTCTTGTGACTCGTTTTGCCCAGGAGGATGTGGTGAAAGTGATAGGAAAGGCTTCCTGTGACAACTCAAAGCATGAAGAATGAGCATACATTAACCTGATGGAAGAGGAAAATGGACAATAGTTTCCTAAGGCAAGAAAGAGGATGTTGTGCTCAACAGTAATAGTATCTAACATTTACTGGATGCTCATGATGGGCCAGGAACCATTCAAAACATTTTACTTATATTAACTAATTTAATGCCCCCAACAACTTGATGAGGTAGGTATAATTATGACCCTCATCTTATTCAAATTAAGAAAACAAGGCCCAGGGTAGTTAAGAATCTTGGCCAATGTCCCACAGATAGTAATTGACAGAGTTGGGATTCAAACCCAAGGCCACTTGGCTTCAGAGCCCATATTCTTTCACCATTATGCTGTGGGGCTCTTAAAAAAACTGGAAAAAGACCAGCAAGACAAGAACAGATTGTCAAAGGCAGGAACCAAAACTTTGTTAATTGCCTCACAACCACGGTCTAGTGTTCATTCTCATGCTCTTCAGTTTCTTCTCGATAGAGCCACCAGAAGGGTCCTTTTAAAAGTTAAATCGAGGGACTCCTGGTTGGCTCAGTCGTTAAGCATCTGTCTTCGGCTCAGGTCATGATCCCAGGGTCTTGGGATCGAGCCCCGCATCGGGCTCCCTGCTCAGCGGGAAGCCTGCTTCTCCCTCTCCCACTCCCCCTGCTTGTGTTCCCTCTCTTGCTGCGTCTCTCTCTGTCAAATAAATAAATAAAATCTTTGAAAAAATAAATAAAATAAAAAATAAAAGTTAAATCAGATCCTGTTAATTTCCTCACTCAAACCCTTTCAATCGCTTCCCATTGCACTTACAAAAAATAAAAAAATAAAAATGTCTTATGATGGTCACAGGGCCTTACCCAATCTGTCCACCTCTTAACCTCTCTGCCTACATACCTTCCCACACTCCATCTTTTTAACTCCACTCCAGCTTCTTGACCACTCCAAGCTTGTTCCCACCCAGGTTCCATGCCTTTCCTGGTGCCTCTATTTTAGAATGTTATTTCTCTGGATTTTGGCATTGGCTCAGCCCCTTGCCTCCTCCAGGCTCTGTGCAAATCTCACCTCCTCTGAGAGGCCTTCCTGGGTCACCTTCTCTAAAACGGCATCTCTTAATCTCATTGCTGTCTCCTTACCCTGATTTACTTTTCTTCATAGGACTCACCAGTGCCTGAAATTATGTTATGACATATTTGTTTGTTTACTTGTTTATAGTCTGGCTGTCCCACCAGAATGTATGTTCCATAAGGCAGAAATCTTGCTGTTGTTTATTACCTAGACCAGTGTCTGCCATATAAAAAACACCCAATACTGAAATATCCCAGAGCCTTGATGTTGCTTAAGACTGCAAGAGTTTCAAAAATTTGGAACACTAACCAACAAAATTATGCCCAAAGTAGGACAGGTAGGAATGTACAAAATGGTTAAAGAAGTAGTTCTCGAACTCCAGTGAACAACTATGTACCTTTAGCATTGGGACCTCTAAAGTGGGGAGCTCCTAGGTGACTCTAACTCAAGTGATGTGTGGATAAGGTTGTCAGATTTATCAAATAACCTATAGGATGCCTTGGTAAGCCTGAATTTCAGAGAAACATTATATTACATGGGACATGGTTATACTAAAAAAATATTCTGAAGGGTTAACTGAGTCTTATAGTCTATCTGAAAACATTGTGGATCACACTCAGAGAACAACTCTATATTATAGGGAAAGATGATATTCAGTCTGGAGAAAATCAGTTTGACTGAGAAAGAGACATGATTCACAGTGATACTCAAATATCTGAAGAGAAAAGACCTCTAGTCTCTGTTACTCTAGAGAACAGAATTAAGACCAGATGTTGACAACATCTTTTCAATAAATACAGGTGGGCAATGGTGGTAGAGTTGCTGCTCAACAGCAGTGGTTTTCCACCTCTAGGAGTATGCAAGCCACACTGTGGAAAGAATTGAATGTTGATGAAAGGAGTCTATTCTGGGTGAGGGTGGATCAAGTCCAAAGACTGTTCCAACACTAGGAATTCAGTTTCACAGATGGAGTGAGAACAGACAGACCTTCTCTGTAATAGATGGGACTCCATTCATTGAAAGTAACCAAAATCCAACACAAATGGGCTTAAGCAAAAATTGAGTTTATTATTTTGCACTGAAAAATCCAGGAGGATCTTGATTCAGGAATGACTGAATTCATATATGTAGAAATGATGTCATCAAGATTCAGATCCAAGTCTCAGCACTATTTTCCATGCATTGGCTTCATTTGTGGGCAGTCTCTTCTTTCATGGTGATAAAATGATCACCTGTGTTCCAGGCCAACATGTTAACAGGTTAACAGTCTCATCAGGAAAAAAGGATTCTTTTTCTCAATAGTTTCAGCAAAATTCAAGGACAGCATCTCATGGCCTGCTTTGGGTCAGATGCCAAGCCTCAAACCAATATTACAATGCCCAGGAGAGTCAATGCTCTGGTGAGATTCATTTGGTCATGTGCTCATGAAATTGGGAGTAAGGTCAGGCCCACCCAAGTTATAGGGACTGAGAGTCAGGGAGAGGGTAATGTTGCTAGAAAAAAAGGACATCGGATGCCCGGCAGATAAAAATACCAGATCGTCCTATATTCCAAATTCAGTCTATGTCAGTAATATTAATAGTATCGCACAAGCTAGCACACTTTTATTTCAGTCATCCTTCTCCAGCTATGCCTCCCCAATTTCAACGAGTTCTTCCTTCACATTAGGAAGATGCATCTCCCCACCTTCCCGAAACTCTATGCCTTGCCCACTATTAGGTTCCACTGAGTGAAAACATTTCCTGAACAGGACACATCTCAAATCTTTAGAAAGACAAGCTTTCTAATATATATAGGTGGGCAATGTTGGAAAGGGTTGCCTCTTGAGCAGTGGTTTTCATGCAAGTCATAGAGTTGAAAAAATGGAATGAATGTTGAGGGAGGCAGTCTGTTCCAGGTGGGGGGGTGGATCAATTCCACAGACTGCTCCAACACTAGTAAATTCAGTAACTTGGAAGGAGAGAGATAGATGGACCTCCTTTGTATTTCTTGGATGTTTCTGAATTGAAAACAATTATTGAGCACCTAGTATGTTCCAGGTACGGTGCCCCCAAAACTAGGAATACAAATATAACTAAAGCATGGTTAGTGCACTTTGGAATATCCAGACCTGGTGAGGAAGAAAGAAAGAAGTACAGAGACGATTATAAAATGGTGTGATGAGTGTAGTGAGACAGATAGGCATTCAGGGCTATGGCAGCACAGGAGGTGGTACTTAACACAATAGGGACACACAGAGTGCTCTTATCTCTATGCTTTTGAAGTGCAGGGGCTGTATGTTTGTGTGTAAGTGTTTCTAACATCTTTTAGTTTGTCACCTTGCTATTTCAGTGGTTAGTAAGATAGTCCAAAAGAGACAAAATGATGAGCCATTGCTTTTTACAAAACATAAAGGCTTTTCGTTTGCTAATAAAAGCATACAAATTCATTGTACAAAATCTGGCAAATGAAGAAAAGAAATGGGAACAAGGAAAAAATACATAACCACTCTTAGCACTTTTATGCTATTTTTATCCAGTCTTCCTCCTTTCTCTATCTAAAAATGGATCATTGTAATATACATGTACTGATGTGATATATGTAAAACATATAATGTATATGTATATCCTTGAAGATATATATGACACCTATAGTAATATAGATGATTTTATATTCTATTTTTAACTTAACCCTCCATCATTAGACGTTTGCAATGCCAGTAAATATCCCCTGAAGAACTGTTTATGACTCTATAACATGGCTGTGTGATAATAGCACCGTTCCTTCTGGACAATCTTTTTGACAGAAGCCATAAAGAGAAATTGTCAAGTGAAATGACTCATTTTGGCAGGCCAAGACATCAAACTTTAAAACAAACTGAGAGGTCATGATCCCAGGGTCCTGGGATCGGGCCTCGTGTCGGGTTCCCTGCTCAGTTGGGTGTCTACTTCTCCCTCTGCCTGCTGCTCCCCCTGTTTGTGCTCTCTTTCTCTGTGTCAAATAAATAAATAAAATCTTTTAAAAAAGAAAAAAAACTGAAATTCACAACTCAAAAAATTTTAAAAAATTGAAGTGCCATAAACTTTAAGGGAGATAAAAATGTTGTTGCACTTCCTTGGGGTGCCTGGGTGGTTCAGTCAGTTAAGTATCAGACTCTTGATCTCAGATCATATCTTGATCCCAAGGTTGTGAGTTCAAGCCCTGCTTTGGGCTCCACTCTGAGCATGGAGCCTACTTAAAAAAAAAAAAATGTCATTGGACTTCCTTTGCTCATTTACTTTTCTCCAACTATAGAAGCAGTTATAATTAACAAATAACTCTTCATGTGATTTTATAATATCTTCCTTCCCATTCAGACCAACATCAAAGCATTTTTTATTATATTTATAGTGTTGAGTTGGGAGGAATATCAGTTACTTTTAATACCCCACTGAAAAGAATTTAATGAGTCAATCTTATTCCAGAGGGACCTATATATAGAGGCTGTGGCTCTTGATTTCACAGACATGCATCTGTGTTAAATACCAGTAATGATTTTCAGATTATCTTATTTTATAAATTCAAAAATGAGGTAGTTCCATCGGAGGTAAAGGAATTGTTCCCAGGAGTGCACAGGGAGTTCTAATAGGATTAGACCCATTAGTCTCAATAAACCCCTTGGTGTCAAAGTCTGGATAATCTGTAACTATTAACTTTAAACTGATGTGGTTGGCTGCTCAAGCCCACAACACAGAAGCACTATTTGGATCTGAATTTATTGCAGATAGTTGGCCAAGACAAGCATGACTCTGTGGGAAAGGATGAAGGCCATTTGTCCACTGTCACTGCTGTTCCTAAATCTTCACCTTCTGCTTCCCAATTATATGACTTTCCGTTATCTTTTCCTGCTATAACTCCCCAGAGGGCTTTATTTCTCACCACCTGTATTATTTTGAATTACAGTCATCTGTGTCCTTACCTGACTCCTCTGTTTGCAAGGGTTATTTATGTCTTCCTCATCTATTTTGTTTCCATGCATCTAAACTTAAGCTTAGGAGGAACTCAATATTAAAGTCTCACCAGTCCTCTCTCTTACCCCTCACCTTACTCCCTTCCTCAGGGCAGGAATGGACAGATTATCAGCTACAGGATCACTGTACCCCAAAGCAGGAAAAAGGATTTATGCCTTCTGTCATATTGCTATTTTCTTATATGCCTGCTCTTGTGCAGGGCAGGCTCACCTGGCTCCTCCATTGCCCATGCTGTAAGAACACCAGGAAAAACTGCCACATTCTCCTACCCAGCTTTACCATTTATTTAGAAAATTGAGGCTTTGATCCTACTCTGGCTCCTTGTGTCTGTTGTCTGTTGGATGGGGGAAGGATTAGTGACTGCTTCCTTCCAAACCTCCATCACTCCCATTCTATGGATGTACACAAAGGCATACATGCCTCGGTGTGCTTCAGTGTGAGTGCAATCAGCTCCCTGTATCAGATACACACACCAACTCCTGGAAAGGCCTTTCTCCATGTATCATTCTCCCTAAAAGAGGACTTACACCTTTCAAAATTCATCTAATAAGTCGTTGTTGCCATCTACTACATGCAAGGCATTGTGTTAAACATTGGTCTGAGAGCAATAAATAAATGAATAAATAAATCTCTACCCGCTAGATGCTCCAGCCTAGAGGCAGCAAGATAACTAGATAACCACCACATAGTGTGATAAAAGCTCTCATGGAACCCTGCACCAGTGGGATAGGAACCTCTCATAGTAGTCCTAGGATATAGAGTCAGTAGACATTAATATTCCCATTTTACAGATGAGATAACTGAGGCTCAGAAACACTCAGTTCCCCCAAGGTTAAATGGCACAAGTTAGTTAGAGTTAGAGAAAGCTCTGGTCCATTGCATTTGCACTACAGTATAACATCTCTGTGGACTCATAAGACTTCATCTATCCTAAAAGGGAAGGGAAGCTAAGGAAGTCATCCATTATTGCCTTAGGTTTATGCCAGATTGCTCCAGCCCATGTAGATATTATGATTCTCTGAATCATTCTTCTAGACCTTACTGCTGATGGGAAATCACCTAGGATCTGATTTCAAGTCATATCTCTCAGTTAAAGGTTAGGTTATGCTGCAATAACAAACAATCCCCAAGTCTCAGTGGTTAACAGAAAAAAAAAATTATTCTCAATAATTCACAATTCATGTTCATTAGCAAGTTAGCTTCAGCTCTGCTCCACATCAGCTTCATTCTGGGCCTCATGTAGAAGGAGCAGTCTCTATGTGGGATACTGCTCAAAACCATAGCAGAGGGAAAAGAGGCCAAGAAGTGACACACTTCTGTTTGCACTTCATTGGCCTGAACCATCACATAGCCAAACCTACGTCAATGAGACAGAAAAGCATAAATCACCCACAATTCAGGGCAGCAAATGTTTTGAACAATATGCCACTATCTCTTTTAATGACTGTAGGAGTACAACTAAACATAGAGACAGAAGACCTGGAGATGAATACTAGCTCGTTCATGACAGGTGAACTGAAATAAAATTCTCTGAACCTTAGTAATATCACCCATAAAACAAAGATAACAATTGTCATCTATCTCAGGAACTTGATGTGAGAAGCAAGTTCAATGTGTAAGAAAGTTTCTGGTAAACCATGGAACGCATTGCTTTTGTTCTTACATATTGTAAGCTTCATGTTCAAATATCTTGTTCCTACCTAAAGACAAGGAGTTACAAATTCAAATATCTATAGAGCCACACAGATAACACAAACAGAAACATGTCAGTTACTTGTTCTGAAAACAAAAACTAAAAAAACTTAATACCCACCTAGTTATACTTTCTTTCCAGTGTTGTTTCCTTTCTCTTTCTTTTCTTTCTTCTTTCCTTCTTTCTTTCTTTCTTCCTCTCTTTTGCTGCTTTACAAGGAAAACCATGCATATCTGATAGCTAGATTTGGCCTGCAGAACCACCACCATCAACTGTAACATTTCTTACAGAAAGAGAAGCAGTCTAATATATCCAACAGTTCTTCAAATACAGTTTTAACCCTCAGAAAATCTCTGATGAAGTTCATGAAGTTCAAGTCCATTATCAAATAAATAATATATTTATCTTATAAAAAAGTATGAACAACAGCCAAACATAAAGTACCTAGAATGATATAGAAGACTCACATCTGCTAACTGGTAGATCTTTCTTAATAAAACAAACATAAAAGATATAGTAGTTCATGATTAGCCCTGATGAAAGCATTAAC